TGACTTGTAACAAGTGGCGGTGAGGTGAATATATTACAGGCAAGCTGGACGTAGCCTAAATTGGGTGAACCGGGATAAATTAGTGTGTCTATTCTCTGTCTCTCTCTTTCTCTTTTTCGTTTGTGATTTGTGTGATTGTCAATTTCCAGCACAAAGGTGCTGCCAATCATCCTGAAACGTATTACAAACATCTCGTCAAGCACTCAAGCATCTCGGCAAATAACATACACATCTGTCTTTCTCTTCATCAACATTCTCTACCTTCAACCGTATGTGATTAGGCCTAGCCCAATTGGTGTTGGACTGATCACATTGCAAAGCTTAAAGAATGGCCAGGCGATGTTAGTTGTTCAATTCTTAATAAACATAAAAGAAGGCAATATAGTGCATAAATCCACTATCCTCGTAACACCATCCTAAACGACAAAAATACACTCAATAGTCATTTACAAATGAAAAGGGATTGATATTTGATAGTACTATACTCTTCTCACGTGAGGTATGTATAGGCTCAATCAATAAAAGACACAAAATGCCCAAAGATTATTGCTTACTGAGAAAGGAAACACGGTCATCCTACGTAGCTTGATAACTACATGACATACGAAACTAGCTATTTGGTCAGTCATTTGCAGTTATACGACATCAAATGTGAGAGCATTACTATCCCTTCATGACCAATGACCAGACAATAGGCACCTCATTGTTGTTATGTGTACGATTGCTTAGCCTCTATAAGCATTCAGCTTGGGAAATAGCTTGCAAAGGTTATTATTGTCCACCAATATGAATAAATGTTGTTATATCAATGTGGCATGTAACACCCCGTTCTAAAACCGGCTTGTTAACATTGCTTTATGATATTAAGCGCAGTTACAATCACATTGGTTCAATTAGAAATCTGGATAAAATTTTCTTTTTAAACAAGCCAAATTTAAAATAACCAATTGCGTGACCATAACCATATTACTTTGCGGAATAGTGAGATTAAGCTTAACATCATATTCTCATTTTATTAGACCATACATCGTTAAATGTCTTCATCTCTTTTATTATTAAATTAATTCTATACTTCCTTTATAGTTCCCATCTCCTACTATGTTATAGATCTCCTTGTTAGCTTCGAGTGGATTCAAACCGCACTCAAATCGGAGCTCCGTAGCTCGAGTTATGCAAGTTTCACTAAACTACGTATTTGCTGATTTCGAGTAGCGCGTTTTGGCGTCCAAATAGGCGTTAAAACGCCCATCAGCAGTTTATTTTACCCTCTACAGGTCTCCAGAACGTTTTGGCGCCCAAACTAAGTGCTAAAACGTCCACTGTAGCGTTTTAGCGCCCATTTTAGCGCTAAAACGTCTAAGGGCAGAGGCCTTTCCTCCATTTTACGAACTTAGAGCGTTTTAGCGCTAAAACGTCTAAGGGCAGAGGTCTTTCCTCCATTTTACGAACTTAGAGCGATTTAGCGCTCGTTTCCGCGCTAAAACGCTCTCCAACTGGGCAAAACATGCCCTCCCTTGTTTTCATGTGACACCATGGGAGGTTTCTTCCCACTTTCACCATTCTCCTTACACCTAATAGACATTATACAACTTTGATACATGATCCTCAATTCTTGCAAGGTACATATACATCAAAAGAAACATGCATGCTATTTCATCATATACATATATCCAATAATTACTACATTACATCATTGCAACATGTCTTAATTACAAATCATGAGACTTAGCTACAAAACACTATGATCAATCCCTTGGCTCTCATCAACAAAAGAGGTACCAAAAGAGATGAGCATAGGCTAAGTCCATCAAAATAGAAGATGACATACATATAGCAATTGGCTTTCAAATGAAATCCTATACATGGTACAACTACATGTCATGTATAACCCAAAAGAATGCAACATCTTCATGCATCTACTAATCTAAATATGGCCACTTGCCACTAGAGGCTCCTGCAGCATCCTTACCTGAAAGGGGGTCCCCACAACACGGGGTGAGATATACGAATATATCACAGTAAACCAGGGGTCCTTGGAGCATCTCTCCATCCCATAGTTCAATAACAGTGTAATAGCAATAACAATAATAATGCAATAAATACATATCCATTCAGTGTGTAACAAACATCTCCAGGAGAAATCCCTCGAGCTCTCAAGTTGTCCTAAGAATACTCAGATGCAAATAGTCCTACTGGCCAGCTAAACTAACAAGTATGAATTACGCATCGTCATGCAACATACCAACATAGGGAAACAACATCCTATGCCACACCAAAGCATACACATACGTATAACAAAGCATTAAACTATTTCATTGCATTTATATACACTATCACAACCATTACCCAATCAGGGCTTGGTGGAACAATCAAGGGAATTACACCCAAGGTCCGAAGGCTTACTTCAAAGCTTCCGTTCAACCTTTGTTCACCACCAACAGGTTCTACAACCAATCAACTTTGATTTCAATTTTAACTTGCTAAGTACACACCTACATCAAGGTGTCACAGCATCAATCATGCAATCCAATGAATATTTAGATATCCATCAGTACCACAACAACTCTACATTATAACTTAACATGAGCTTACCTATTCCAAAGAGCTAATCAAGCTCCATAGCTTGCTCCAATGGTTGATCACTCACGGTTGGTCTAAATGCCTCAATCCTAGACATCACATGGACATACTTATTATTCAACCCAACCATTGATCATAATGGCAAGAAAACCCACAATCAAGTATCATATTCTTGCAATTTTCAAAGTGTAGTCATATAACTATCTAAGCTCATTTTCACCAATTGTATGTCATTCCTAGCATTTTTCATAATATACACTAAGTCTCAATCCTCCTAGACCATAGTCAATTTACTCACATTTTTATATAATCCTAAAACACTATTCATCAAAACCTAAATCATGTAAAACTCAAGAAATTGGTGTGAAAGAGAGTGGAAAACTCACCACAATGGATCACACAACAAGGAATGGTTGTTCCTCAAGCTTCCATGAAGGTAGAAACCAACAAATCCCTCAATTTCTCACATGGGTCGAATTTTTGGAGGTTAAAATCTCACTCCACAAAGACTCCCACTCAAAACCAAGCTTTGATTGTGAAAGGGGAAAATGTTTGGAGTGGTTTAGACTTTGGAATAGATGAATTTGGCTAAGGTTTGGAGTTTTCCCTTTCTTCTTCTTCTTCTTCTTCTTCTCCTCCTCCTTCTTCTTCTTCCTTCCTTTCTTTCTCTCTTCTGGCGCACTTCTTCTTCTCTCCTCCTCCTCCTCCTCCTCCTTGGGGAAGGAATTTGGGTTCTTTTTTAATTTATCTATTTAACTTCATTAATTACCAAACTTTACCCAAATGTCTGAAATATTTTTCTAGAAATATTACCACTTTCATTTTTATATTTTGGGGTACTTTTTCCGGCACTCATTTATACCCCTTAATTTTCACTGAGTACACTTTTTACCTCAAAAGTGACCCCAATTTACTTAATTAGGTCATATACGTAATTTTACTCACTATTACATGCTTAATTATTCAATCACATTTAATTTACTAATTAATTAGGTTAGGGCTATTATATGGCATAACCACGATACTCATCTACTATAGTACCAGGACATTTACTGACTTGATCGTTAAAGTGTATTGCAAGTATCTCTTCTAATCTCCCCAAACAACTTCAAAATATTAGTTCCAGCCTCAACTATTCCGGGTAACTAATTTCTTGTCACTTAAACCAATCATTCCCGGTAGCTATTCATTTATTTTTACTATCGGGCATTGTTCTTTTGTGAGTAATGATAGAGTACAAGTTTGCATTTGCTTAACTAGTTGTTTGATCACCACTAGACTCTAATGTTTTTATCATCTTTTTTATACGTTACGCCTTTCATTACAAGATACCTGTACGTTAGTTTTGTAGGAATTTCAATACCAAGGAACTAAATGCTGTTACGCAGCCCCAGCAGCCACCAATCTGGATCCACGGAGATGGAAGATTTGAAAATCAAAACAATGTTATATGAATATGTTCACTAGAACACATAACAGGAAGTCAGATCATGAAAATGAGATGACATTTGTTGGTAGCGTAGAAGATGAATTCCTATATCTTTACGTAATATATATTTGTTTGTGTCTGAGTTTTAATTATCATCAAAATTAAACTAAAAAAATTAATGAGGTTATGAAAAAGGAAAATAAAATAGAATTAGATGAAGTCGCTTTGTAATTATATAAGGGTTTGTTTTTTTTAAAGTTACTTTAGATAATTTTATCTAATGTTCATCGAAATGACGTCGTTTTGGAACGGAAATCATGGTGTTTTTGTAATTTTAATTTATTTCAGGGTTATAATAATCTTTATCATTCTAATTTTTAAATTTTTCAACTCCAAAACGGCGTCGTTTCGATGAACATTAGATAAAGTTGTCTAAAGTAACATCAGAAACTTTTTTCCCATAATATAAATATAAAAAAGTAGAGAAGTAACATTATAAAAAGGGTCCGAATGCCCCCGAATTATTTTGATAATATATACCATAAATCATGGAATAACAAATTAAATGTTATAAACACCGACATTATTATACACCTACTTTTTTGTTCTACCCATGCTATATTTAGCAAACAAAAATAATTGGAGAAAAGTTTGCGTGGCCCTGGATAACATGATCCTTGCTCCAAAAAGAAAAAAAAAATGGAATATGGGTAGAAATAAATATAAAAATATTATTTTTTTATTATATTTGATAAATAGAGCACCAAATTCGTCTTTGAGCACGTAAACTTTTCTCAAATAATTGCCATTGTGGGAAGGGAAAACAAAATAGCCAATACTGTTAAATGAACCAATCAGGTTCTGCCACATCATCAAACTCGGTTTTATTTAACTCAGTCTTAGACCCACCACCACTCAGCACACCCAATAACCACACACACCTTCCCAATTTCCTGATAAGTTTCTGTTTGTTTCCCAGGAAAATCAGCTCAGAATAAAAAAAAAAAAAAGGCTTCAAGATCACTTTCCGTTGAGTGATTTAGGGATACTCTAAATAGTAATCATGATACTTTGATGTCCACTTTAATCTTCAGCAGAATCCCTTTCCCACTAAACTTTGAAAAAGAAACCGTTTTTTTTTTCCTTTTTTTTTTCTCTGAGCTTACCGAGCTACCCAATGAGATTCTAAATCAAAGGTTTTTCATTTTCGCACAAATATTCAATTTTTATGAAAAATAACGTCACCCCATCCGTTTATATGGGGCAAAAGTGAACGAAATATTACCGACAAAAAAAAAAAGGTGAGAAAAAAGTGATAATTTTTCTCGAGAAAATAGAAAATCTGGGTTTGAAGCAAGTGGCGTTATTAGTAACATGTCTCTGATGCGAAGGAGAAGAGGGTCGGATATCGATAAGGATCAGACTCAGAGTTCGGAACCGAAGGTTCAGGTTAAAGGGGAGAAGATAGAAGAAGAGGAAGAAGATGATAAGAAGAAGAAGGAGAAGGTGACGGTGAAGAAGAGCAAGTGGTCGTGTATCGATAGCTGTTGTTGGTTCGTGGGGTGCATTTGCACGCTGTGGTGGTTTTTGCTGTTTCTGTATAAGGTGATGCCAGCTTCGTTTCCTCAGTATGTGACAGAGGCCATAACCGGGCCCATGCCGGACCCGCCGGGCCTTAAACTCAAGAAGGAGGGGCTCACGGTGAAGCACCCGGTGGTTTTTGTGCCCGGGATCGTCACCGGTGGGCTTGAACTCTGGGAGGGCCATCAATGTGCTGAGGGATTGTTTAGGAAAAGATTGTGGGGTGGTACCTTTGGAGATGTCTACAAAAGGTATCAACAATTTTGCTGGTGTTTGTTCTTATTTATAATAATTTTATGGTGATATTTGGATTTTCTTTTTCTTTTTTCTTTTTGGTTTTGCTTTGGTTTGTGGGTGTGGCTTGTTTTGTTATGCTAAGTTGTTTATGGTATTGGTATGTTTGTGCTTTATTGTGTTGATTATGATGAGCATGGTGATTGGTAATGAGTCTAACGACAAATCGAAACGATGTTAAATATGTAAATTTGATTATGTTTGGTGGGCAAGGTGTTTAGTAAAAATGTCACTCTAATTTCAGATTGTTGGATACTTGGATTTGTCAACTTTGTTTCTATAATTGGTGGAGTCATTGGAATAATGAATTGAAAGGGAACTTATCTTTTATGGTCTTGTTGGTTGATGAGGAGATTGCCTGAGATGGTTAAATTTTGCTTTCTTTTGACTTATTTTATTTATTTATTGTTATTTGAATTAACTTGTCATAAAAAGGTTATTCTCAGAATTTGTCCTTTTAAATAATGTACGGTCAGATCATTTTTTTCCTTGTAAACATTGGACTCTGATCGAGATATTTTCAAGCACTGTGCCTATTCCACTCATTCATTTAGGATGATAAATATTCAATGACCTTATTATAAAGTCCACCTTGGACTTGTTCAAATGTGTTAAATGTTTATTGTGAGTGCTTGATTGGAAGAATTTCAATCGCTTTTCATGTCACTTTATAAGTGGAAGGACTATTCAGCTTGAAAATATTAGGAATGTTTCTGATTGACATTAATTTCATTCCTTCTAACGATTTCTGGAGTATGCATTGACTGAAAGATGAAGCAGCAATCAGTCACCAGTATGGTCAAGCATTGAAATTCTAATGGAATTTCCAGTATTCTTGGAGTGTACCATTGAAAGCATACTGAATTCGATACATAATTCATTCTTATTAAACTAGCAGTAACATGCAGAAGTACAATTGTTGACTGATGTTTTAATTCTTCCGTATGACAATGAATGTTCTTATCTCTATGTTAATTTCATCCACGCCAACATCACCTTTATCCCAAACTAGTTGGGATCTGTAGTTGATGAAATCAAATAAAAGCAAGAACAGATTGAGGGGAAAAGAAATAATAAATGGTAGTTTAATGTACCAAACTTATATAGTTAAGAGAAGATAGCTTTCCAAATGGAAATGGTAATCCTCACTTATGGCGTAGATAAGGCTTAAAGATAGTTTACCATCATTCATGTTTTTTGAAATGTTCTTGCGCCGGTGGGAGTATAGACACTGCTGAATTCTTTGAGATGCCACTTCTTTCTTACCGTGAGTTGTTCTTTTGAACTTGCAACCTTTACCTACGCTTATGATACTTGTAAGTTTTAATCAAATTCCCATAGATGTAGAAATGGTGGAACAAGGATTTATGTCTTGTTTTTTATGGATCTTTTGCAGACCTTCATGCTGGGTGGAGCACATGTCACTGGACAATGAAACAGGATTGGATCCACCTGGCATAAGAATCAGGCCTGTCTCTGGACTTGTAGCTGCTGATTACTTTGCTGCAGGATACTTCGTGTGGGCAGTCCTAATTGCTAACTTGGCGCGCATTGGTTATGAAGAAAAAACTATGTACATGGCTGCATATGATTGGAGAATATCATTTCAGAACACTGAGGTATTCTATAACTGATTTTGCCTGGAGTTGTTAACTTGTTATGCCTCACCCAAAGAAGTTCATTGATTATGCACCTGTAAGAAGAGAAGTAAAAAAAGGATATATATATATATATATATAATTTTAAACAGTTGCTGAATCTGTGTTTTTTTCTCCCATCAATAAATTAATTGATCAGGTGCGGGATCAAACACTAAGTCGGATAAAAAGCAACATAGAACTAATGGTTGCTACTAATGGTGGGAATAAGGCAGTTATTATTCCACATTCAATGGGTGCCTTGTACTTTCTTCATTTTATGAAATGGGTTGAAGCACCAGCTCCAATGGGTGGTGGGGGAGGGCCAGATTGGTGTTCCAAATATATAAAGGCAGTTGTAAACATTGGTGGACCATTTTTAGGTGTTCCCAAGGCTATATCAGGGCTTTTCTCAGCTGAAGCCAGGGATATTGCTGTTGCCAGGTAAATTTACTTAGTGTTCAATTGCTAAGTAACAAGTTGGTGATGACTTACAGAGTTTATCCTGGTTCATCTGTATTATACTCCAGCTAAGAATGTCCATGTCAGTTACTCTATACTACCTGTTTACTCCAATTGTTTAAATCAGCTATGATTTATAATACCCTTTAAGATATCTCTTATCCTCTCTCCTTTAAAAATTTCTTCCTTTTATTACATATTTTGCTAAGTAAACAATCATGTCCAACATTATCTGCGTCTCCTACTACTGATCTGAATTAGAGAGAGCAAATTCTGATTGCATCTGGCACTCATGCTAACTTTTTTTTTTTTCATCCAACTATTGAATATCTTAAATTAAATTTGGTTCTTTCTTGTTATATCAAGGGCAATAGCACCGGGATTTTTAGATAATGATCTGTTCCGCCTTCAAACCTTGCAACATGTGATGAGGATGACACGCACTTGGGACTCAACGATGTCAATGATACCAAGAGGAGGGGACACTATATGGGGTGGTCTTGATTGGTCACCTGAGGAAGGCTATATCCCTAACAAGAAAAAGCAAAGCACTAACAGTACTCAGTTGACAGGCCAAGAGACAAATAAAACAAATGTTGCCAATTATGGAAGAATGATATCATTTGGTAGAGATGTGGCAGAGGCACATTCCTCTGAGATTGAGATGATTGACTTCAGGGTGAGCATATTTTTAACATTGAATCTTGAAATTGCTGTAGTCTTGTATGCTTACTCCTTCTTTTACCTTATCTTTTCAGTTTTCTGAATCCATTATCTTAGTTAATACTTAGTTTTTTGTTAACACTGAACAGGATGCCATTAAGGGTCACAATATTGCAAATACCTCTTGTCGTGATGTGTGGACTGAATACCATGACATGGGAGTTGAGGGAGTAAGAGCTGTTGCCGAGCATAAAGTTTACACAGCTGACTCAATCATAGACCTCTTTCATTTTGTTGCTCCAAAAATGATGGCTCGTGGTAGTGCTCATTTCTCTTATGGAATTGCTGACAATTTGGATGATCCAAAATATGAACACTACAAATATTGGTCAAACCCCTTGGAAACAAAGTGAGAACTTTTGGTTCCTTTACTTTTTTTTATCATGCTTGTCAGGTTATTTGAATAACTATTCTCGCTATACATTTATGAAATAGATGCTTTGGTGGTACTGCTCTAAAATAGTTTAGCTCCTTCAATGTAGCACGTTCATTTTATTACCCAAATTTGTGAGCTTGTATATTGGTTGACATGTCTTAATTACTTATGGCTTTTGTAGTTGAAGCTGTTCCTTTGTGATTAAAAGGTTATAGGATCGAATTTAGGAGACAGTCTCTTTGCAAATATGTTAGGACCGATAAAGCAATACACAAGGATTGCTCTCACTCCTACCCTCTAGTCGGGTTTAACGGAGAGTGGTTTATATATGCTTTTGTAGTTGCCAATTTTCATATATAATATGTAAATAAAGGTTACTACCTTCTTTATAGCGCTTTTCTATTAATAAACTCTGTATGTGCTTGCTAATCTTTTTCCCACGCTCAATTTACACCTTTTGGTACTCTAAAATATCTGCAGATTACCAAATGCTCCTGATATGGAAATCTTCTCTATGTATGGAGTAGGCTTACCAACTGAAAGAGCTTATATTTACAAGTTATCTCCCTATGCTGAGTGCTACATTCCTTTTGAAATTGATAGTACAGCAGATGGTGGTGATGAAGATAGCTGTCTGAAGGGTGGAGTGTACACTGTTGATGGGGATGAGACTGTGCCAGTTCTAAGTTCAGGATTCATGTGTGCTAAAGCTTGGCGTGGGAAGACAAGATTCAACCCTTCTGGGATCCGCACTTACCTTAGAGAATATGATCATTCTCCTCCAGCAAACTTGCTGGAAGGCCGGGGTACACAAAGTGGTGCTCATGTTGACATAATGGGAAATTTTGCATTGATTGAGGATGTTATAAGGGTGGCAGCTGGTGCCAAAGGTGAAGATCTAGGGGGTGATACGGTGTATTCTGATATCCTTAAATGGTCTGAGAAAATCAAGTTACCTCTGTGAATGAAGGCACAATGCACTTACCAGTCCTCCACTTCTCTGAAACCCCCCAAAAGGATATAATAATACAATTTTTGGCAGTGTTATTTCACTGCTACCAAAGCTTTATATGATGCATCCAGAATTTCTGGTTCTGCTGATCAAATTCTGATTCAGTGAAGTGATGAATTATGCAAATTGGTTTAATTAAAAGAGCATGTACTGAAGAGGGGGGCTTGGTTAAGTAAAGCTCAGCTGTTTATGTTGTTGCTGGGGTACAACTTAAAGCATCAAGTTGTGGTTTCATTGTATCATCATATTTTTCCTTAGTACCTTTTCCCCCTGATACAAGTCATTCTTTATTTAATGACTCCATAGTCTGTAACCAGAAAAGCTCTGAGAAAATGGCAACAGGAGTCAACAATATGTATGAATTAACTTATTCTATTTTAAATTAAAACTTATAATCCAAGGAGATTGGCTTTTGACTGAATTCTTTCTATTATAAAATAGTATATTTCAAACATGGAAAAAAAATGTGTCATATTAAATGACATATTTTACATTTTTTCACTCTTACAAAGAGGTGGGATTCACATCTTTAATTTTTTTTTTCCACTTTCTCTTTCATGATTTATTTCTTTCTCTACCTTAAAATGATACAATTTTGTGTTATTTAAAATAATACACACTTCTCCCTTCAGACATATACTGTATTACTCAAATTTTGGTAAGTTGAAGTGTCATAAATTTGTCAAAATGGATAAGTTTATTAAAAAAGAAAGTGGTTAATGATTTATCTGGTATTGTACTGATAATAATTATATGATTAAGTTTTGTTTGTGGTATTTTAAAGTGATTAAATTTAAGACATAAGTTTTATTTAAATTCTTATTGATTATTTAAGTAATGGTCATATTTTATTACTACGAACAGAGGCGGACGCAAGTAGGAGACTTGCCCCCCCTTAAATTTTGATATGAAAATATCAAAATACCCTTGGCTTAAATTTTTTATTCCTTCTATCTCTCACTTTCTTATCACACATCTATCTCATTCTTTTCTAATTTAAGTGATCCGACACTTTGTTCTTTTCTTCTCTCTTTTTCTTTCTAATCTTTTCTAATTCCTAATCCCACTTACGCACATATCAAACTACAACATACACCTACATATAGACTTCACCTACCGACTTTTTCTTCTATATAATATAATATTCTAAACTTTTGCTACTTGGACTTTTCTTTCCTTTGCTGCAAGTCTACAACTTTCTACATCTTTCTTCAAGGACATGTTTTGTTTCATCTTTGCCAACTCGTCTTCTTTTTCATTTGTTTATTATTATTTGTTGGCAACCCATCTTGAGTGGCGTAGATTCTTCTAGTAAATGGCAAGTCTTTTATTTATCAAATCTTGTAGATTCTTCTTGAACGGCGGTGGTAGCTTCTTGGTTTCTTCTTTGATCTTCCACGCCTCATAGCTTCAGGAATTTTCTATTTTAGCAACTCTTGATTCTTCTATGATTTTCTAGATTGGTGGTAGATGTTGCAAAATCAAATTTGATTTCTAACAGAAACATAGTTTGAGCTTGTTATAATAATTATATTGTTTCGCAGAGATTCTTTCCTTCAGAGTTTGGAAATGATGTGGACAGGACTCATGCTGTGCATCCAGCAAAGAGTGCATTTCAGGTGAAGGCTAACATTCGCAGAGCCATTGAAGCTGAAGGAATTTCCCATACCTTTGTGTCGGCCAATTTATTTGCTGTTTATTTATCAAATATTTTATTTGATTCTTGTAGATTTATAGTCTTTTATTTATCAAATCTTGTAGATTCTTCTTGAACGGCGGTGATAGCTTTCTGGTTTCTTCTTTGATCTTCCACGCCTCATAGCTTCAGGAATTTTCTATTTTAGCAACTCTTGATTCTTCTATGATTTTCTAGATTGGTGGTAGATGTTGCAAAATCAAATTTGATTTCTAACAGAAACATAGTTTGAGCTTGTTATAATAATTATATTGTTTCGCAGAGATTCTTTCCTTCAGAGTTTGGAAATGATGTGGACAGGACTCATGCTGTGGATCCAGTAAAGAGTGCATTTCAGGTGAAGGCCAACATTCGCAGAGCCATTGAAGCTGAAGGAATTTCCCATACCTTTGTGTCGACCTATAACAGCCCCAAACCCTGTAGCATGATATTGTCCGCTTTGCCCTCGGGCTCACGGTTTTGTTTCTTGGGGCACCCCACAAAAGGCCTCACACTAGAAGAGGTATCCACACCCTTATAAGGCATGCTTCGTTCCCCTCTCCAACCGATGTGGGACATTACATCCTCCCCCACTGGGAATACAGCGTCCCCGCTGTACACACCGGTCCAGGGCCAGGCTCTGATACCAAATATAACAGCCCCAAACCCTGTAGCATGATATTGTCCGCTTTGCTCTCGGGCTCACGGTTTTGTTTCTTGGGGCACCCCACAAAAGGCCTCACACTAGAAGAGGTATCCACACCCTTATAAGGCATGCTTCGTTCCCCTCTCCAACTGATGTGGGACATTACACGACCAATTTATTTGCTGTTTATTTCATTCCTCCTTTGTCACAGCCTGGAGTCAAATCTCAACCTAAAGATAAAGTAGTTATTCTTGGCGATGGAAACCGCAAAGGTTAGATCCCATTTTTTTGCATTTCAGGTGCGGAAGTGCCCACCCTTCATCAAATTCCTAGATCCGCCACTGACTATGAATACGGATTAAAGGAAACATTTGAGTGAATGGATTTTTTTTCTTTCAGACCCATTGCTCGCATTTCCCTCATATATATTAAATATGTTAGAATACTAATAACAAAATCATATGGCGTTCATTCACTAAACTTAGTTAAAAGTCATCAACTCTGTATCGTTGTGAGTTACCTTTCAAAATATATATCTACATTAAAGAAAGGTATGTGCTGGTTGATCTATGCCATTCTCTATTCTTGTAAGATGATACACACTAGCTAACGGTCCAAAAGGTGTAGTCGATGGACAACAAGTGAATATTTTTGTACTATCCCTTGTTGGTCCCGAGGGGCGGAGGAGGTTAAGTTAGCCGAAAGATGATTATCAGTTTAAGGACGCAATGTGCCCCTTGGTAAGAAATTTTCTTCCATGAACTATTTGGGTCAATGGATTGGTTCGATCCAAAACTTGAGATAATGGATGTAATCCAAAAAAAAATTCATAAGTGGTTGTTACCTCTCAAAATATATATCTACATTAAGGGCCTGTTTGGTGTGATGTATAAGGCCTGATAGTATAAGCTTATACTATACGTTATGACATTTTCAGTTGTTTGGTGTGACCATCGTATAGTATAAGTTTATATAACATGATCCCTTAATACATCAAAATGATGTATAACTTAATCAAGCATAGGAGTGGTGGATTAGGCCTGATAAGGGATTGATGTATTAATATTGCTTACAAGTATAATTTTCAAGAACTAATATATCATTTCAATATTTATATATGAAAATAATTTTTTTAATATATTAATTTTTAAAATATTGGAGGATATTATCTTATACAATACCATACCAAACGCTGGATAGTATTAAAATTTAATTAGGTCTTATACTATCAGGTCTTATCCTATACTATGCACCAAACATGCACTAAGGAAAGGTATTTTCGATTCGGACGTAAGAATAAGAAATATTTTTTTTCATTTCTATTGTTGATTTTTATGAATCTGATGAGTATATCTTAATCAGAGAGAATTTTTTGACTCTAGTGTAAGAATAAAAAATCTCACTTCTCATCTCGATTATTGATTTCTGTTCATCTGATGATAACATTTATTTGAAATTAATAATTAATTAATGAGTATAATTCAATAAATTACAATTACTAAATTGACGAAAATTAATGGATGAGATGAAAAGTAAAACTTATTAATCTTACTCTGTGGAGTAAAAAGATTTGGCCTCATGTGTGTGTGTATGGAGAGATATTTTGACTCTAGTATAAGACAAAATTTTTTTACTTCACATCTTAACCATTGATTTCTCTACATTTAAAGATTGTAGTTTATTGAGTTATATCAATTAATTAATTATTAATTTTAAATAAATGACAACCATTAGATGGATATAAATCAACGGTTGAGATAGGGAGTAAGACTTCTAAGTCTTATAGTGGAGCGGAAAGATCGGAGGGACCTTTTGACTCTAGTGTAAGATTTAAAATTATTATTCTTCATCTTAACCGTTGATTTCTGTCTATTTAACTGTTATAGTTTATTGATTTATACCAATTAATTAATTATTAATTTTAAATAAATGAAAATCATTAGATAAATAAAATTAACTACTAAGGTAGGGAGCAAGACTTTTAAGTCTTATAGTGGAGTTCAAAAAGAAAAAAAAAGACCAAAGACAAAAATAAAATAAAAAATAAGATAAAAATAAGACAAAAAAAATAATAGAAGAAAAATAAACTAGTGTTATAAGTTTCTAACTTATTTTTATTTTATTTTTTATTCTTAGTTTATTTTCTTCTTTTCAATTAATATATTTTTGTAATTTTTTTCACTTTTAATCTTTTCTATCACTATCGAAAGAAATAGAAAAATAATAATGCCTATCACTGTCGAAAGAAATAGAACAAAATAAGGCAAAAAATAAGATAAACAAGAAATAAAAAATAAATTAATTTGTAATTTTTTAACGTATCTGGTATAAGATAAACAAGAAATAAAAAATAAATTAATTTGTAATTTTTTAACGTATCTGGTCTTTTTATTTTATTTTATTTTTGTCGTCAATCTATTTTCTTTTGATTTAAACTATTTTTAAAAATTTTTAAATTTTCTGTTATTATTGTAAATTTCTAACATATTTATTTAGTCTTATTTATTTTTTTAATTTGAACACGCTTTGCTTTTTTTTTTTCTATTTTTATTTTTTCTTACTTGTAATCTTTTATGTAAGTGTTGTAAGTTTCTAATATATTTGATTTTATTTTTTATTTTATTTTTTCTTAGTTTATTTTTTTTATCTTAAGAAGGATTAAAATATGGGGAAGGATATTGTGACAACCAAGTTGTGTTACTACCAAGTGACTACCAATCAATCTCACCATTAGATTGATTATGTTGATCCAACGGTTATATTTATTTCTATCTTTGTATGGTCATGATTTCCCATATTGAAAGTGAAAGCATTAAATATGAGAAATCATAACCATACAAAGGTAAAAATAAATATAAAGTATAAAATTTGGAAAATCATGACCATACAAAGATGGAAATAAATATAACCGTTTTGATCCATATAATCGATCTAACGATAAGATTGATTGGTAGTCACTTGGTAGTAACACAATTTGGTTGTCACAATATCCTTCCTCTTAAAATATACAAATTAGTTAAGTTTACAAGATGTTAAGGATGTGTTTAGATAAAAAAAATCCTTAAAATCATAGTGGTAAATGATTAGAAAAACATAAATGGTAAGTGGATCAAAATAAAACTATAAGGAATTTTTTAAACTTTTTTCAAATTGTAATCGTTAATTTACTTTTATTTATTTATTTATTTTTATTAGCAATGTGAAACGATGTAAATGATTTCAGCATAGATAATTAAGATAAATTTACAAAAGAGTCATTGAATTTAAGAAATTAAGAAATTATTGATCTTAGAAAATTAATGTTGAGATAAAAGAGGGAGCAGAATGTAATTTGACTCTAATAAATTAAAATAAATTTACAAAAAGAGTCATTAAATTTAAGAAATTATTGATTTTGGAAAATTAATGTTGAGATAAAACAGGGAGTAAAATTTAACTTGATTCCTAATAAAATATTATATTTTTAAAGGGAGAGGTTGTAGTTATAACCTTTTTTTTTATACCTTCTTACAACCATATATCATAACCGTTGATTTTCGCGTTATGATTTTCACAAATTAAACTCATTAATTAATTATTAATTCATAATAAATGACAACCGTTGATTGGATGAAATCAACGGTTAAGATATATGGTTGTAAAAGGTTGTAAAAAAAAAAGGTTGTAACTATAACCTTCCTTGTTTTTTAAAAGAAAAAGTTCACTAATGTCCTTGTGATTTGCTTCAGAATCACCTATGCTCCTGTGATTTTTTATCACATATGCTCCTGTGATTTGTAAAAGGGTATATTTTTTATCACATATGTCCGTGATTTTTATTTTTTACAAAACACAATGACATATGTGATAAAAAAAAACCACAAAAATTGGTGAACTCTTTTCTTTTTAAAATAATGATTAGGAAATAGAAATATCTTCGAAAGGTCGTACGATGGAATCGAGTACACTGAATCACTCTCGTTCTCGTTCTCGCTCTTTCTTTCTCTTCGCCTTCGAAAAACGAAACCGGTGTGTGATACTGATTGTGGATCACGGAACCCCCTTACGCTTCTCTCTCCGTCGCTGCGATTGGTGGCTCCGTCGTTTGCATTATTCCAAACCCTAACATCTGACAGCTTCGCATTTTCAAATTCAATCAAATTCTGTTCTGATCAAGCTCCCACAGGTACCCCTTTCTCTCTCTTCAATTCCGTGGAACCAGAACAAACAAATAGGAATTTTTTTTATTTTATCTATTTAATTTGGAAAATTAGGCTATGGTATGGTAGGATCACTTATTCATTTTATTGGTATGCATGCATGGTTGCAAATCGGCTTGCTGAGTGAACAACAAATTTCAAAAATTTATGTGCTTTCCAACGGATTATTAATCGGTTGGGATATCTGCGTTTGTTCATCAATGCAAAGGTTGGATATTTAGTTGAAGAATGAGAGGAACAGAAAATTAAGCTAAAAGGAAAAGTGAGAATCCCCAGAGCAAAGCTCTCTAGCAGAAATAGGCCATTATTTCGAAAAAGTAAGTGATAACAATAGAAATTTATCCTTAAAGGGTGTGTTTCGTAGGGGAGTTTTATTTTGTTGCCCGGGAAAGTTCACATGGGATTCAAAGGAAACCATGTCTGGTAGGGGTTTCAAAAAATTTGCCTAGGGTTCTAATTTGCGTGAGAATGTGATATTGTGTGTAAAATTTTATTTAGATTACCACCCAGACGGTGGTATTTTGAGTTACCTGGGAAACAAAAAATTGGGGAGCGAAAATTTGGACACAAATATCCCGGAAATAACGTGCCAAAATTTGATAGGCAAGGCTTACTTTGGTAATTTCAACCCATTTTCCCAACCATATTTTACCTTCAACCAAACTTAGACTCAGTAAACTTATAATATTTCGGCCTATCAAACAATTTTTTTTAACTTTCCCAGAAAACTTACTTTCCCACCATATTCCCAATAATTGTGATTCCTTGGTAAAAAAAATTTTCTGCTCTACCAAACGCCCCCTAAAAGTTGTATCATTTCTCTGCCACCATAAGGTTTGAAATCAACTATTGGCGGTGTTTGAAATTTCAAGATCATCTTGTGGTGGGGTTATATTGAGGGCATTTAGTTCCAATTTCCAAACTTTGCTTTAGGCCTTGGAATGGAGGAATGATTTGTGGGTTTGGGTTTTAAAGATTGGTTTTTGCTTGGACAAGTTTGAGTTGTAACAAATTAAAAGGGGTTTGGAATGTGAGGAATAAAATGGTGTATATCCAATGTGGCTGGGAGCCTGGGACTTTAGATAATTTCGATTAATATAAATATGGTTTTTTTTTTGCTGGTGAAAGCCAAGTCAGAAAAAAGTTGTGGGGATATAGATTCTATTGCTTATGAAGATGGGACAGAATTTAATGTTGCAGTTTGGAGAATGAGGGCTGAACAGTAAGTCTGAGGAAGAGGACAAGAAGATACTGAAAAGTGGGGAGAGAAGAAACTTGATTTTTCAATCGTTAATAAGAAAAATGCCTTCAGAATTCTTAAATTCCCGTGAATTATGGATTAAAATGTTAACTGTTTTAGACTCTTGAATGTAAATGTACTTGGCACTGGTCTGTGTTAAATATGTATTGCATATAAATTGCTATATAGCTCTTGGCCATATATAACTAGATATAGGGTCAATTTTTAGTTTATTATATGGGAAATGTGTGTGTCATTTTAAAAGATGTAAAGTTGTGTCATTTTAAGAGAGAGAAAGAGATAGATAAAAGAGGAGAGAGAGTTGACAAAAAAAATAAAGGTGTGGGTCCCACCTCTTTGTGAGAGTGAAATGATATAAATTATGTTATTTAAAAGGATAAACACTTTTTCCTTATTATATTGTTCCTTATTATATTGCATATAAATTGCTATATAGCTCTTGGCCATATATAACTAGATATAGGGTCAATTTTAGTGTATTATATGGGAAAAGTGTGTGTCATTTTAAAGGATGTAAAGTTGTGTCATTTTAAGAGAAAGAAAGAGATAGATAAAAGAGGAGAGATAGTTGACAAAAAAAATAAAGGTGTGGGTCCCACCTCTTTGTGAGAGTGAAATGATATAAATTGTGTTATTTAAAAGGATAAACACTTTTTCCTTATTATATTGTTGCTTGAATTTTGGCTGTGGACAGATAACAGAATCATTTGCGGCTATTTCTTCTTTTTTTCTCTTTTAAATGTTAATTAAAGTCTTTGGAGATTATATATATATATATTTACCCTGTCTTTGCGATCTTTAATAGAATGTACTCTTGTAAATTGACTTTCTAAGTATTCTAGATTAGTGAGACAGGGGCTGTGGGTAACGATGAATTTGCAACAAGTTGGGCTGCCCAAATCATCTAATGGATATGGCCGTTGGAAATCTGAAAAAGAAGGGGCAACTAAGTCTGATAATAAGGTCCTCTCTGGAAAATCAAATGCCAGCAGATTAACAACTACAGGTGAATTTCTGGCCTGAGTTATTTATTATTTTCTATTTTACTTACCACTTTACTGATATATATTATTATAGGTGCACCGACTAGAACTAAAGGTGATAGTTATGAGAGTTCTTCATGTGATCGACTGGTATATGTAACAACATGTCTTATTGGGCACCAGGTGGAAGTCCAGGTGAAAAATGGATGCATATACTCTGGGATATTTCATGCTACAAATACTGACAAAGATTTTGGTATGTTCTGTTATGTTTGTGTTATTGATTTTGATGATATTGAAGACAATAATACTATTCTATTCTTGAATAGCTGAATAGATTCCTGCTTCTTGTTTTCATCATTATTTCTACAGATCATAGAGAAATTGACATTTTTAACTGCTTATATGATCATTACTGTTCTTTTAGGAATCATTTTAAAAATGGCTTGCTTGACAAAGGATGGATCTTTGCAAGGGCAGAGTTCGGGTGTAGAATTTGTCAGCAAAGCTCCTTCTAAGACTTTAATTATACCTGCTAAAGAACTTGTACAAGTCATAGCGAAGGTTTGCTACTTTTCATGTATTTGCAGAGTACTGGGAAAATTATATTAGTAAATTCAGTTCAGGTCTTACTATGTTATGGACTCTTTTTTTTCTTTTTTTTCTTTTTAATTAGGATGCTGTATAGTAATGAATGGTGTTGGAAAAGTTTTAGTCCAGGATTAGGTGAAGTTGCTTCGAACACACTTTCGATTTATTTGTTAATGATATTTTTAATGTGTCATTTTCTCAGGATATTGCTGTTTCTAGAGATGACCTACCTAGCGAATCTCACTATGTAATGCATCAGGAGATCATGGTTGATTCAGTGATATCTCAATCTCGTCATGTTGAGACAGGGAGAGAATTACAACCATGGATACCTGATCAAGATGGTCCAGAATGCCCTGAACTGGAAAATATCTTTGATGACCCTTGGAATAGGTTGTTTTATATTTCTCTTATTATCCCTTTTAAAAAAATTTCTTTTATGAACAATAGAATTGTTTTCACTGGACCCCACACACAGCAAGAGCTTTATAGCACTAGGCGACCTTTTTTGTAGATTTGTTTCTTTTATTGAAGCCTTGACACCCAGATGCATGCTTATCAGTCCCATTTGTTATTTTTTAAGCCTCGAAGTTGGCTGTGAAACTATAGTATGAAGCTGTTTTATTTTTTTTATTTTTCTGTTTATGTTTAAGAATAATATAATAAAAAAAATAAAAAGTGTCTTCACCTAACAATTTAAGCTTTTGCATTGAAATGATTCTTCACATGATATCAAAACCTCTGCAACCAAGTGGTCTAAAGTTCGATTCCTTCTTCCCCCTTTCTTCTATTAAAAATAAATTAAATCCCAGCATAAGGTAAACCAAAAAAAATTAGCGTGGGCATTATTCACGTTTCAAAGCAAAAAATAAAAATAAAATAAGAATTCTCATGTACGGGGGGGCGTATTAAGGAATAATATAATATTAAATAACAAAAAGTGCCTTCAAACAAGTTATGCTTTTGTTTGGGTTGAAATGGTTAATTACATTTTACAACAGGAAGTTTATTAAGAATAGGATATAGGATGCAAATGATATATGTCTCAGTGGCATCTTTCTCCTCCATTTTCAAATTATAAACATGACATATTGGGTATATTGGAAAAATTGAAACTGGAAATTTACATTTTCACATTGGTCATATTGGGTATATTGGCATATGTCTCATTACATTTTCACATTGGTCATAGTGGAGTAGAATCACCTTTGGGCACTGATTCTGTAACATGATTTCTATATTCTTGAATAATCTTCATTTACTTTGTAATCACATGTTTCTTGTTCATCTCCTTAACTTTTTGCAACCAGATTTTTTGTTAGGGATGGTTAATTTGCTATTATTCTATAAACTTTTTGCTTGAGACCTTTTTTGTAGTAAAGCTTTTCTTGAGGAATGACTTGCAGTAAAACATGACTGATTTCTCTTAGAGGGCACAGTTATGATAATAGACTTATGAATTACTGGACTAGTATTATAGCTTGGATGAGATTTTGTTGAAATGCCTTGTCGGATGTTCCTGTAACAAATGAAGGAAAATTAATAAATAATTATTTTTAATGACGATGAAAAATCTTCGAAGGAGTTTAAGAATTCCTTTGTGTATACATGTTTCATTGGTACTCTATTTGTTCAGGTTTTACTTCTCCTATTTACTTTGGTGGCTTAACCAACTCATTTGGGTCATGTGTAGTTGAATTATTCCCCTTTGAAGTCTTCTAAGACATTATTATTACTTGTCAAGTGAAAAAAAAAAAAAAAAGATCGGTTGTTTTCTTGCGGTACCTCATTTCTTTTCTCATGGCTGAAGTCTAGGAGCATTATGGGAAGGATGTTGCCATAAAATCTGGTTATGGTTGTGAAAAAGGAAATAGGGTTTTTTAGTATGTCCTTGCTTATCAAGATGAGGCTTAATTGTGACATTGCTACTATCATAATTTATATCCTGGTTTTTGTTATTTGTTTCTTCTTTCTTATTTTAGTCCTTCACTGCTCCTCCGTTTTGTTTTACATTGACTATTATTTTTGTATTTTTCTAGGGGATGGGATCAGTTTGAAACAAATGAAATGTTGTTTGGTGTAAAAAGCACATTCAATGAGGAACTCTATACAACGAAGCTTGAAAAAGGACCTCAGATGAGAGAATTGGAAAAACAAGCTTTAAGAATAGCAAGAGAAATTGAGGGTGAGGAAACCCAAGATCTTCATCTAGCAGAGGTTGGTGTGGCTTCAATGCTTTCTTCTTTTTTTCTTTTCTTTTCCCTTTGTAAATTTCTGTAATTTTTCGTTTATTTGTCTATTTGAATTCCTCAAACTCTGATTTTTCTCAACAGGAAAGAGGCCTTCACCGTGATAACATTGATATTGATGAAGAGACAAGATTCTCTTCAGTGTATAGGGGTAAAGGTGTTGATGACAGTGGTTATGATGAAAATGAGGACAAGGTGCTTGATTCACACAATTCTGAAACGTTTGGTGGTATTTCTGGTTTGGTTACTAAGAGACCGGGTAAAATAAGTGCTGGAAAAGGCAATGATGGAGCTCAAACATGGTCAAATTTCTCCTCTGCGGTATCTCCTCAAATTTCATCACCCCCCCCCCCCCCCCCTCCTTTTTTTTTTCTTTTCCCAGACTTCAAATTATGAGGGAATGAGACACTAATTTGGCAGGCATTTGCTTCTTTATGCCTTTAGTTCACAGTTGTCCATCCACAAGTACTCATTCACTTTATGAGGGACCCTCTTCAGGTGCAACAGAGAACTCATGCAGAATGTTGAGAGAGAAAAGAGAAGCACATGCTGAAAACTGTGTCTCAAATACACTGAACCTTGACATAATAATACATGTTAACATAGAAATGTAGCATGTATTATAGTATTGGTAAAATATCCTTTAGAAAGCTGTACCAAAAAAATAAAATAAAAAAATATCCTTTAGAAACATTAACTAATAAGCAGGCAACATTTGACTAATTTTAGGAGCTGTGATATTTTCACGAATAATTTCTGCTTGAAAGTGTGCTAAACGTTCTGAGTCTTGTTCTGCTTTGGAAATTAGTACAGTTTTTAACATCTAAAAATAGTACAAAATACAAATCAGGTGTCTAAAACAAAGCTTGTATCAAATATTCCTTTTTGTCCAGCTTTTGCTTTCTCCTCCCCCCTCCTTTAAAGTAATTATTTTACTTCCTAATTTCAGCTTAATATTTTTTTGTTACTTTCATGCACAGGATCACTCTCAGTCATATCACTCAAGTACTGGTGTGGATTTATGTCGCTTTGGTTCTAATGATCATGCTAAGCAGTTAGCGTCTGAGCTCCCTGCCCAAAGTTTCTCATTTTTGGATGGGCAAAGCAGGTGTTTGTTGACTTTTGCTTTTTTGCATATAATTACTTGTTTCACTGTAGTTATTGGTATTTCTTCCCCCAAAGGATGGCCTTTCGGGACATAAAAACCTAAATATCAACTTTATAATGAATTTTCAAATCCAACAAACTTACAGGATTCAGGAGAACTTGGTTAATGATCTACATGGAGCCAATGATAATACCACGGAAGAAAATCAGATGGTGAGTTGAATTTTAAGTGTTACAACTCTCATACTCATCATGTCTACATAAATATCCCGCATGAGATTGCTATTATTTGATCCTCCTAAATCTCATTTTTCTTTCTTTCTTTTTCCCCATTAATTGATGCAGCAAGCTGAGGATGTCCAGCTGTTAAAATCTGAGGGTTTGTGAAGTTCTTTCTCAGCTCCCTGTGAATTGATTAGATCTAAAGCATTGTGCCTGAAACTTATGTGGATGAAACTAAATCAATCTCATTTAAGTGATTATTCTATTTATTATAAACAAAGTACTGAAGTATTTTGTCAGTACTTTATAGTACTCTGAATGGAGCTCTTACCTATATTTGAAATTTCATTTTAGTGGTTGATTCTTTCATTGTGTAGTGTATTCCTCTAATTTTAGCAATTTTTTGTGCAGATTTACAATCATCACTTGACTTGAAGAAAGTTGGCTCTGATAAAAGGGGATTATCTCCAAATGTCACCTATACTCCTTCTACTCATTTTTTATCAAAGACTCATGAAAAAACAGGGTCTCATGGGGAGTTGACTGGGGTTTCAGCATCTGGCAAAGTTAATGTGGAAACAAAGTCTGTAAATTCCCGTGGAAAACTAGCTAGTTGTACATCATCTGGTTCTGATTGTGTGGGAGGTGTGGCAGCATCCTCTGGTCCTGGTCTATCACCAAGTTCTTCAGTTGGTTCACTGTCTTCCGAAAAATCAACTCTAAATCCCAATGCGAAGGTGTGAAAGTTCAAGATTGACTTTTTCAAATAGGAAATTGAACTTGCAAATGCTGGTCTCTCTCTCTTTTTTTCTGGTAGACACAAAATATGGTCTTTTATGTGGCATGCCTCAGAGCTTCCCCCATTTTGTTTTTCCTTTGTTGTCAGGAATTCAAGCTCAACCCTAATGCGAAGAGTTTTATTCCATCTCAAACACCTGTTAGACCTCGCTCCCCAGTGTCTGATGGTTCCTTCTATTTCCCAGCTAATGTATCCTCTATATCAAATATGCCAGCCATGCCCATGGGTATTGGAGTAAGTATTTCACGGAAAGATATTCTCAATCTCCAGTGAGGAAAAATTGTATTTTACTATTATAGTAAGTATTTAAATATTTTCACCCGTGTTCTTGTAAAGGGTTTTCTCCTAGTTCATTCTTGTTTAATTATTATGATTAACAGCCAAATTGGCCTAGTCACTCTATAGGAGACTATATAGAATTTTTAGTAAGGTCTAAAAGTTGTACTCAATAATCTGACTTGCTTTTGTTTGCGACCTTGATTACGTTGCAAACGATGTGCAGGTTGGAACTACTTTTTCCGGGCCACAACCTATTATATATAATCCACAGGTTGCACAAATGTCATCCCAATCATATTTTCCTCCAAATGGACCACAGGTGGGATTTCACTTTTAGTTTCTCATTGGTGACTTTTATGTGAATATTGATACTTCAGAAGTACTTAATATTATCAATCTAATTGCAGTATGGACATCTTCTTGGTCATCCTAGGCAAGTTTTGTACATGCCGAATTACCTACCTGTAAGGATTCAACATGTTTTGATCATAATTTTTAGTTTTTTATTTTTTACTCGTTTTTATTTGAGAAATGTTTATGGTTAATTTGCCTTTTCCTTTGCTCTGGTTAGAGACTTCATATGTGTCTGCTTTAATTTTATGTATCACAGCTTTGCTGTCTTTAGCATGATGAGAAAGATTCATGATAAAATCAGCTATCTCAATAACTTAATATATGCTGATGCATCATGGATGTTGGACATTTTTCCTTGTAACAATCATGAAGCAGGACTTTTCTTCATATAGGCATCTGATCTGAATTTGAACACTCTTGGCTACCATTATATACTTCTGGAGCAATTTTTTGTGGTCAATATTTTGGGAACTCAATCTTCCATTTCGGTTTTTAACAGGAGACGCCATATAAGGGACGGGATTATTGACCACTCGATTGACTGCAGTCTTGGCAAGTTCGCTCCTTACCTGAAAAGAATAAACTCAGTGGATGGCCTAAAGAGTTTCAAATGAAGAGGATATCTGCAGCTTATGGGAGGATTTTCATACAAGTTTGATAATTTACAAAGCTGGCTCATTCTAGGATATAAAAGTTAATGATCTTGTATTCACCCATGCATCTTTTGGAATTTTCGAGCTTTTGGTTATGTAGTAGTAACTTAACTCATTCACCTTTTTTTCTCCTTAGTATTATTATGATGCAACATTCACTTTAATTTGTGTCTTCCCTAGTTAAATTACTACCAATTATTTTGACCTATGTCCACAGCTAGTGAAGTTGCTGTCATATCAGTTAGATGATACATGTATATTTCATTTATGCTTTTAGTGATTTAATCGTTTGAGTGTAAACTTGTAGTTAACATATTGGATTTCTTAAGAACTTTGACATCTTTTGACGAGAGCCGAATCATGGTGGCTACCGTGCAAGTGTGAACATATAAGTATCTCAGATGAAAGATATTGGAAGTCACGGAATCACCAAGTAATATCTTCAAGATAATTACAAAATTCCATGTGATTTTTTGGTCCAAGTAAATGAAGACGAGACAGGAAGAACGAAAGTTGACAGTGTCAAATTATGCATCGTGTCAACATGCATTGATTCTTTTTTAACCATCGCAAGTATAAAGAAAAATTCGCATATAAATTATGGGTTTTATTAAACTTATGTTAAAGGAGATAAATTATTTCATGTTATAAAGATAAATTTGTGAGCTTTATCACCTGAAAAAAAAAAGATGATATAGTTATTGAAGAGTGTGTAAGAGAAAAAATTTATTTCATATAGCATGAGAATAGTTTTTCTCATAAATTGTACTCCAAACTTGATTGGGATTAAGCCCCGGATGACACTGGCAATCAATCTTGCTATTGAGTCAGCACATAATCCGTTAGGAGATAGGAGAGAATATTCTCAGTGCTGCTGGATAACAGAATTGGCAGAATGGGTGAAAAGCGTTGCTGCTAGCTTTGGCAATTAAATAGGGGTGTGTGCTTTGTGACAATATGGAGAATCTGGACTAGAAGTTGGGAGGATTAAAGAGCTCCTTCGTTCGCTCTGCAATTTATCTTTTCCTTGTAGTAGTTTCATTTTCCAGTATTTCCTTTGTTAGCAATTCGTTGCTCCTGTTTTGGTGTGTAATTTCACAAGCTTTGTAACATCCTGGGGCTGACCAGGGCGGGGAGTGATCGTCGGTACGAAAGGGCACAGACAACCTGACAGACTTTCAACGGCGGGGCTACATAAATGAATCGAATCAACAATTGAAAGATAGAGATTCCATAGACTGTGCTGGTATGAGATGATACAGTTGAAGATAGCTTATAAGAATTAATTGGTACTACCTATACTAATAAAATGCATCTACTTTTTAGTAGCCCATAACGAAAGAACTCCATAATTAAACGTGTTTGACTTGGAGCAATTTTGGGATGAATGACCTCTTGGAAATTTTTTTCAAGAAATGTGTGAGCGATGATAAAGTACGCTGAAAAGTCTTGTGTTAGTGTGTAGGGATAGTTATTGATTCTTGGAAATAAAAGTGCAAATTTAAGTAGCTGAACTAGTTTCATTCATCCTGCATAACATTAAGTAGCTCATTCAGATCAAAGTCTCGAATTGAGTATGACCCAATTGACTTGATTCTCATCCTCACTATCCATAATAGTGTAGCTCTCTCATCCTTACTCTATCCATAGACAAAGGCTTGCCTCCATTCATCCTATCACAGACACCATCCTCATTGAGGTTAGCATCTTCAGGTAGTTGAGGATCCTTATAACATGACCAACTACCCTGAGACAAAGACAAAACCTTTTTAACAGCTTCAACAACCTCACCACTATAAATACATTCTCTGCCTCGTTTATGGGTCTTGAGCCAGCTCGGGGGTAAAGATTTTGATACATCAATAGCTAATTTATTCGGTGCAACAACTGCACCAAAATCATTATTATCTTTATTCTCTTCCATTGTTCCAGAGTTGGGGAAAGTAGAACCGTGCTTGCCAGAGGGTGTAGGAGGTTGAATACCCTTCCAGAGCCTATCAGGGTGGGATCTCATATGGCCAAACAAGGAGTTTTGGGATGGGAAATTCTTGTTGCAAACATAACCATCGAGTTCCCCATTAGACATCTTGATGCCATCATTATTAGCTTTTTTAGCTTGTGATAGATACCTCCATATTCTGAGTATATTCTAAAATAATTGATACGACGAGTGGATTTGGGCTTTCTATGATAGATGTTGGATTTTGAGTTATGATATTTTTGAATAAATTGAAAAAACTATGACGAAGAATAATTGATATGATAGACATTGGAAAATTATATATAATTGAAAAATTATGATGCTCTTGAGCAACAAAGATAATACTTAAAGAATAAATATTCCAAATATGGTAATTGATACACGATTGAATTTTTCATGATTGTGTGTGATTGTAATAAATTAATGGTGGGGGGATAGCTTTGGGATGATACCTCTTAAAGTGATGAATACAACCTTTAGACTTTATGCCTTCGATATATTTATACGATGTGAACATATATTATCTGTTTTTCTCAAAGTGGTATATGGCATGATATCTGGGATACTAGTAGCAACTTTGGGAAGAAGTGTGCACATGAGGAAGAGATGTTTTTGATAATGGCCAAATTGTTGATATGTGACTGGCAGGATATCTGGGTCACATGATAGATTGACAGGATCTCTGGGTCTACCATGGTTCTCTTCCTACTAAATACACTAAATGAATTTAATAAAGATAATAATTGATTTAATTATATATATATGATGAATATTGAAATTATGTTTGATTCAATTGTTATGTGTTTACAATTTTTATTTGATTATTATATTTGAGTTATATAATTGTGTTTTGATTAGGATTACCAGCTTTGCTGACTTTTGTGTTTGTTTGACTGCAAAGATCCTCTGGGGGAGATTTTTAGTAAATCAAGTTGCAAAGAATCGGGCTAGCAGTGGGCAGTGAGAAAAACGACTCGGGATTTCTAGTTAGTCATAAATATTATGTATAAATATGTAGATTTAGATTTTATTTGAATGTAATAGAGTTAGCGTTGCACTTGTCTCTGCACAGGTGCAACGGTAAAATTTTTCCAAATTAGTTTTAGATTAGCTTCCGCAATATTTCCATTATCATAATTATATAAAATATGAATTTTGACAATTTATTTATTATAAGAATATTTTATAAATTGTTAGAAATTTGGAGGTGTTACAAAATCGTATCAAAGCCCTGGTTCGGCTTGGGGTTTGCTCTTGACACTGACTCAAGGGATCAAAGATCCCAGAGTTACATAAATATTTAAGTATATAAAAATAATTTTTTTAGAAAATTAGATAAAATGATAAATAAATAAAATAATGAGAGTTGGGTAGTAAATTTTTTTTATTATCTTTTAAATGTGCTTTAAGGTTGAAATATTGATCTTGTTAATTAGGTTCTTTAAATTGTTTTTTTAGTAACTCATTTTATCTTAATAAGAGTAATTTGATTTCTTTAAGATTTTTTAGTTGTCCTTGAATTGGTTAAATTTTTTTAGCAAATGAAAGATTATATAGAAATATATATATAAAAGTTATATTGTCTTAAATTCATAAATGCTATGTTATCTTGTTTGTTTGGTTATGCATTACTCTTGGTTGCTTGCTTACTTTCATTCTAAGGGGGCTCAAACTTTTAAGTTTCGAGGACGAAACTTCTTTTAAGGATGGTAGAATGTAATATCCCAGAAAAATAATAGTAATTTATAATAATAATAAACTATAAATTAGTAGTAATATATATATATATATATATATATATATATATATATATATATATTGATGGTGATAGATAACAAATTATAATATAAATTTTACCTTTGATAAAATAATTTTGTGTGATATATGTGTGACATGAGTGCTATTGAAAATTGATTTTGATACTTTGTAATACTCCAGATTGTTAATAATAAAATTATATATATATATATATATATATATATATATATTAGGTGATAAATTTTAATTAATTGAATTATTAATTGATTGATTATTTATGCTTTAATGTTTGATTGGTAAAATTTGATTGGATTAGGATGAGTCAACAAACATAATTTAATTAGATATGATGAGTCAGTATGGAGTCAATAATGAGTCAGTGATGAGTTAACAATATTTTGAGCCATAAGAAATTAAGAATAAAAAGGAAATAGTGTATAAAATCAGTATCTGAGCCAGATAATCAATGAAGAATAAGAAAATAATTGCACAAAACTCATATCCGAGCCCAAAACTTCAACTATAAATAGAAGCCTAGCCTAACTAAACCAATTCACTTTTCAACATTTTCCCCTACTCTCTCTCCTTACTTCAATTTTTTATTTTTATTATTATCTTCCTTTGGTTACCAACCACTTCTCTTCCCCAAATTCTAGAAGTCACCAAACACGGAGACCAGGTAATCCTAATCCCTAGAGAGTCTTCTGGTAGCTTGATATGAATCTTGTTTGATGTAATCTAGATGTGTAGGGCACCATAGATTTGTTTTATATAAAATTATTATATGGAATTTATTCGGTATGTCTTAATCCTTTAGGTTTAATAGATTAATTTTATATGATATTTTGTTTAATGTTATGTTGATATTTAGAAAATAATATATTAGTTTTATATGAAATTTATGATATATAGTCCTAACCTTTAGTTAATCGTAGGGTAATTATATATGAATTTTATTGGGTTTTAACCCCGAGAAAATAACATTATTAATTATATAATTATTTTCGAAGAATAATTCAAATTTTTCAAAAAATTATGATTATGGTATCTTTTGAAGATTAATTATGTGCCATATATGTGTGATACGGATACTATTGAATAATTGTGGAAATTATAATTTTGATACCTTGTAAAATTATGATAATTGATATGATGAATGGATTTGGGCTTTCTGTGATAGATGTTTTTGAATAAATTGAAAAAACTATGATGAAGGATAATTGATATTGATATATGTTGGAAAATTATATATAATTGAAAAATTATGATGATCTTGAGCAACAAAGATAATACTTAAAGAATAAATATTTCAAATATGGTAATTGATACAAGATTGAATTTCTCCTAATTGTGTGTATTTGTAATAAATTAATGGTAGGAGGATAGCTTTGAGATAATACCTGCTAAAGTGATGAACACAAACTTTGAGCTTTATGCCTCCGATATATTTATACGATGTGAACAGATAATATATGTTCACATCGTAAAAATATATTGAGGCTATA